TTCTTTGTTTGCTCAAACACCCTGTTGTGAACTTGGCCTTGTAGGACCTTGTTAGGAATGTTAAAAGAAAAAAAAAAAGCTCTCCCATCCAAAGTTGTGCAGAAAGGACGCAACATTTTTGTCTGCATTATCGTCGTCATCGCATTTTTGGGGAAGTTGTTGTCGCCAGCGCTGAAAAAAGTGGGTCTGTCCTCTGAACCCTTGTTTCATTTTCTTTTATTTGCCCGACCTACAAGATCCAAAGCATTTCGTGTCCGTTTCAGAAATGGGATCCGCTAAATTGTCAAGACCGTCTCCATTTTTCCCGACCGCGCGCGATTCTCTGCTCCAGGACGGCAAACGGCGAGCGTCACCTCGGGGATCCAGTTCTCGCAGGTGCGCGGCGGCCCGGGCGGGCGGCGCCGCCCCGGGCTGCCGAACCGCACACTCCACTTCCCCGCCTCGCCGGCGCTGCTCGCGGCTCAGCGTGAAGAAGCGCGTGCTTCGGAAGGTCCCGTCCGGATTGCGCTCGGAGCCGGGCGGGTCGGGCAGGGCCGTGCCGTTTTGCAGCCAGGAGACGGACATCTCCTCCGGGAAGAAGCTTTCCAGGTGGCAGGAGAGGGTGAGAGGACCGTCGGGCGTCGGCGACGCGACGGCCGAGAGTCTGACGGCGGGGGTGTCTGAAGGGGGCACACGTCAACTCGTCGCTCTTCAGAATAAAAGCAGGAAATACTGACATCATAACAAACAGCGGCTTATGTTTCGCAACGGTCTATAGTTCAGGGCGCTGGAATTGGCCAGACTAGAAGTGCACGTTTGCGCATGAAACGTGAGTCTTTGACTTGCCCATCTGACAACTGTCACTCAAATAGTTCCGCGACAACCTGAAAAAAACGGCCGCGACTTTTTGGAGCATCTTTCTTAAGCCCGCCCCTAACCGCATCTTCCAATACGGCCGCTTCAAGCCATCGGGGCTTTCCCTCGGCGCTCTAAAACAGCCGAAGACCCCGCTTTGCTCACGCCTCGTCCCGAATCAAAAAAAGGGGCACTCACAGGTGATGTTGAGTTGAAACTTGAGCTCCTGGTCGACGCCGTTGTGGCTCACTCGGCAGCCAAACGTTGCGTTCTGGTCCCATCGACTCGGGTAGTACGTGAGGTTGGCGGCCGCTCTGTAGAAGCCGTCGGCGGTCCTCTCCCCATCCAGCCGGGCGGCGGATTGAATGACCTGGCCGTCTCTGGTCCAGGCGAAGGCCACGGGCGGAGGGTAGAAGCCGTCTGCGCGGCATTCCAGCTGGCTCGCCGCGCCCAACGCCATCCAATGTTGAGGTGCTGACACAGTGGGCGGGGCTAGGGAGGCCAAAAAGATGGGACGCAAAAGCAACTCAGATTTACACAGCAATGGGAAACGTGCTATCTCCGATGCTGTGAACAATTTCTGGGCGATACGCATGCATTTCCCGTCATCGGGTGGGTTGGAACGAGCCACGATGAATTAGAAAAAGTCTACACACCCCAGTTTTGTTGTTTGTTTTTGTCATACAAACCAACCAGCCCAAAAGAAACCATTTCGAAAGGCTTTTCTTCATTTCTGTGACCTATGACCTGTCCAACTCAATTGAGAGAGAATTGTGTCCCCTTTTGGCGACTGACACATTTCTCATCCCCACAAAATCTGCCGTTTTAACAAGGGGGCCTGTTTGCGCTGTTGCCTGTGGAAAAAAA